GTGTGTGTGTGTGTGTGTGTGTGTGTGTGTGTGTGTGTGTGTGTGTGATGGCTTGTATGTTAATCTTTTGAAAGAGCTAGTCATCATTACCAGCCAGATAGTACAAAAATGTTTTGAATTGGTGTTTTTTCACCGGTCAGTTTCATGATGGGACACTATTCATCTTGCCAAAGCAACAAGTTAGTCATGGTAGAATATGTCAGCTCTTTAATCACTGCTCTCGTGGGCTTTATTTTGCTATCTCTGTCTCATTCCTTTTCTCATTTTTAGTGTTTTGCTGTTACAGCAAAGCGTAAATAATTTTCTTGCAGCTTTGCTCTTATGTAGCACTTTTAAAAAACAGTAAGAATGAAGTTGGAACACTTTTCAAAAAAAAGCTTGGGATAAAATAGCACTAAAATATGAGCAATTGTTATTACTCTTGACTGCAGGACAACAGAATTCAAACAGCCGGAGGGTCTAATTTAATTGTGATTTATCCAGTGCTGGATTTTAGTGCTTTCTGCTTTTCACAGTGTTTTGTTTTATTTTGATTTGTTTTCTACTGTTCTGAGCATGTCCGCATTTTTGGTAGTCCGTTTGTACTTTTAGCTAGACGTACATGGTGATGGCGGTGGTGGTGGTGGTGATTTACATACTAGATTCCCACTATGAAGCTGCCACGTATCTGTTACTTACCTATCTTGTGGGTGAGAAAGACTAGTAATCTGATAAATGGACCTTGAATATTGTCCCAGAATTACTTGAATAATGCTGAATTCTATTCTGTAACAAAGTGAATTAGGAGCATCTTGGCATTCTCAGTTAAGAGCCAGGGACCTGTAACAGAAATCTTAGTTGTGATACTTAGTGGGAGAAGGTGCCCTGTAGTCCCTCAGGCTAGTACATTTATTACAAATGGTAATGGATTCCAAACTTCAGTTATCATGGCCAGCAAAATTTCCAAAAATAAAATCTGAGAATATATGACAGTATTTTACATTTTTTATTTTGCTCACTACAGACATTAAAAAATAGCACTATCTTCATTTTTTGAAAAGATTTATTTATTTTAAAGAGAAAGCACACACGTGTGGGGGCCAGGGGTGATAGGGGCAGAAAGAGAGAGAATCTCAAGCAGACTCCCCACTGAGAGCAGAGCCCGACATGGGGCTGGATCTCACAACTCTGAGATCTTGACCTGAGCTGAAATCAAGAGTTAGAGGTTTAACAGACTGAGCCACCCAGGCACCCCTTTATCTTCATCGTTTTTAAAAATCTTTTAGGGGTGCCTGGGTGGCTCAGTCAGTTAAGCGTCTGCTTTCGGCTCAGGTCCTGGTCCCAGGGACCTGGGATTGAGCCCCACATGGGGCTCTCCGCTCCACGGGAAGCCTGCTTCTCCCTCTCCCACTCCCCCTGCTTGTGTTCCCTCTCTCACTGTGTCTGTCTCTGTCAAATAAATAAATAAAATCTTAAAAAAAAAAATCTTTTAGTCACCAGAAAAGGAGTAAGAATATAAGCACTCCTTTAAATTGAGTAAATTTAACTTTATGAAAAAGACTTACTACATTGTTTGTATTTTTGCCATTTCTCCATAGAGCCATGGAAACTTCCCCACGGGCCAGCATAGGTTTGTAGTAGACTCGTGGAAATTTCTGATTTGTGCATAATTGTGTTGACTGTGCTGGGCACACACAGGGTAAAGTAATTCACAGTATTTGCCAAAGCAACAATTATTAAGTGATAACTAAATATAAAGCATGGCATTAAGCCTTATGCCAAACAAAAGTATTTTCAAAAAATTTCATATAGCCTAGGGAACTTATTCATTTAGCAGATGGGAAAAGGTAATAAAATTAGCTTTAGAAAATGAAATAAATGCCGAAAGATGCCATATTATTATTTGTGAAATGTTTGGATAGCAATTGCTGTATTAAAAAGGATTTTATTCTAAGGTAAGCAGGGAAGATGTGGGGGAAATTCTAGATGTGCAGTAGACCGTTTTGTGACCACAATGCGACTAAGTTAGAGCCAAAACAATTGCAGGGATCTTATTATGGTTATTTTTAGCTGTTGAACCAGTTATGGCAACCTTCTCATTGTGTGAGAAAAGAAGAAACATGTATTTTATTTAATCTTCTGTTTGCGGGAGACACTAGTAAACTGCAGTTGAAATTACGCCTTCATTCAGGAGGAGATTGATCATAAAAGATAGAGTTTTGAATCCATAGTTGGGTAGAGCATCAGGAATAAAGCATGGTCGTAAAGACACAAGTTGTGTTCAGACCTGTGTACTGGCCCCATTTCACATGGCCTGGGCCACAGAGGCCTGGACTCCTTTCCCAGGCTTGCAGCTAGCCATCTACAGCTCTCAGTTATCTCATCTGAAGCACAGGAATGGATGCTATTTTTCTCAATTCCTTGCAATTTGAAAATTCTTTGATTCTAATTAATCCATTTGGCTGGGAATGAGTAGATCAGAATTAAACAGGCAATAGGTCTTACCATTTTCTAATCACAAGACAACCCAAGTATTGATCTTTCTAAAATGAAAATCTAATCAAACCTCTCCTTTGCTTAAAACTTTGAGTGGTTGGGAAGGGAGCAAAATGGCGGAGGAGTAGGACACCTGGATTTCGTCTGGTCTCAGGAATTCAGCTGGATAGGGATCAAACCATTCTGAACACCTATGAACTCAACAGGAGATCGAACAAGAGAATAGCAACAACTCTCTGAACAGAAAAGCGACCACTTTCTGGAAGGTAGGACGTGCAGAGAAGTGAATCCAAGGCGATATTCGGGAGGATAGACGGCGGGGGAGGGGGCCTCCGTCGGCCGCTTCTGGCAAGTGATAGAGCCGCGGAGCACAAAATCGGACCTTTTAGAAGTCGGCTCCGCTGAGGGACGTCGCTCCAGTGGCTAAGCGGGGGGTGGAACCCTCACAGGACAGTGTGGTCTCAGGACCCTCGGGATCACGGAAAGACCAGGGGTGCCTGAGTGCGGCAGAGCTCCAGGTATCAGAGCGGGGAAGCCGGCTGCAGAGACGGAGCCGAGGCACGGGCCCTCAGCTTGGGGTGGCCATAAACTGTGATCCACGGCCCAGTCGGGCTACTGCTTCTCCAGCAGGGACCCAACAAGCGGCAGAACCGGGGAGACTCCCCTTCCTCCCCCGGGAGGAGCGGCGCAGGAGTGCACCGCAGGGAACTACTGGGTTTGGAGATGGAAACCAAGTCGGTGCCGGAGATAGAAACTCTCGGTCACAGGCCGGGTGAGCACGGAGTGCAGCCGGAGACCAGGGAGACGGGAGTAACTGACTGCTTTTCTCTGGGGGCGCACTGAGGAGCAGGGCCCTGAGTTCTTGGCTCCTACCGGGTAGAGATTGGGAGGCCGCCATTTTCACTCTCATCCTCCAAACCTGTGCGGAAAGCTTGCAGGGAACAAAAGCTCCCAAGAGCAAACCCCAGCAGATTGCTTAGCCCGGCCCAGCAAATGGGGGGCAATTCCGCCTCCGGCAAAGACATTTGGGAACCACGGCAACAGGCCCCTCCCCCAGAAGATCAGCACGAACAGCCAGCAAGCCAAGACCAAGTTTACTGATCAAGGAGAACGGGAGAACTCCAGCGCTAGGGGAATACTGCACATAGAATTCATGGCTTTTTTCCCATTATTCATTAGTCTTTCCAAGTTAATTTTTTTAACTGTCTTTTTTTTTTTAGAATTTTTCTTTTTCCCTTTTTCAACCAACATCTTATCAATCCCTTTTTTAAAAAAAATTTATTTTTCATTTTTAGAGTCCTATTCTATCCCTTCATAGTAGTTACCCTTATTTCTGGCATATATATATAAGTTGTTCTCTCTTTAAAATTTTGAGATACAGTTTCTTCTAACATATCAAAATATATCCTAAATCTCTAGCATATGGCTTTGTTCTAGTCTCCTGCCTGATCACATTCTCTCCCCTTTTTTTCCTTTCTTTCTTTTTTAATCCCCTTCTTTCTTTTTTCAAACACCTTCTTATCAATTCCTTTTTTAAAATTTTTTATAATTTTCATCTTTACAGTCATATTCCATCCCTCCATCCTATCAACCCTTATATTGTACATAGTTGTATTTCTTTCTTTAAAATTTTAGGAGGCACTTTCTTCTAACAGACCACAATACACCCAAAATCTAGTGTGTGGCACTGATTTATGCACCAGCCTGATCATATTTGATCATATTCTGTTTTTTTTTGTTTGGTTCT